ATCTGATCATCTGGCATGACAGTTCTTATAGCGTTATTTCTTTTGTATTTTTAGCAAGGAATAAACAAAAATTATTCTTTCTTTCCATCTCTATAACCATAATACATTACACGGTTGAAAGGTTTGTCATAATACGAATTATAATAATAATAATTTGTTTATTTAACGCACACACTAATAATAACGCACACACTCAACATAGCCCCACACTAGGGAAACCCTGTGTCGCGGGTGCCATGGACACACACATAGACAACTACAAATTACACCCAAACTCACGAGAGAAATAAATGTGGGCCATACAAATATTTCTCCCGGCCCGGGAATCGAACCCGGGAACCTCTGCCTGGCAGTCCGGTATGGTAACCGTTCGGCCATGGAGGCAGTTATTTGCTTAAAACATGGTATAACAGAAAATATAATAACGCACACACTCATCATAGCCCCGCACTAGGGAAACCCTGTGTCGCGGGTGCCATGGACACATACATAGACAAACACAAATTACACCCAAACTCACGAGAGAAATAAATGTAGGCCATACAAATATTTCTCCCGGCCCGGGAATCGAACCTAGGACCTCTGCGTGGCAGTCCGGCATGGTAACCGTTCGGACACGGAAGCAGTTTACAATACATTACAGTAAAATACAATTGTGTTTCGCATATATTAAATAGCATGCAAATGTCTAGTTATATAATGTCAATTACACTACCACAACACAATAATAAAAAATATCACATGTCAAGTTACAAATTAATTAAGTCAAGATAAAATCTTACATCTTATTTTTGTATTATTTCTGGTCCTTTACAGGTCCCATGGTCACGGTTGACTGAGGTGGTACAGTCTTCAACCAGTTATGTCTAATATTAATGCAAAGCACCCCATTTTTTCACTATAGTTACAATAGTTATTAATTAAATACTTTATTTTTAATTTTACAAAAAAAAAATTCTACGTACAATTTCAATGCAGTCTTTTACTGGTAGGTTGGTAAACAGCGACTGAACATCAAAACTGACCATGGTGTCATCATCAGTTAACCATAGATCTTTGATTCCACTGATGAAATAGTATGAACGTCGGTTTGTTTGAAAACACAAATATACGCGATTTAAATCCGGAAAAATAGTTTCATTTCCTATGTGTAACAATCGCGAAAACCTAAGAACTCGATAAAAATATTTTTATTTAACCACTTGTACAGCTTTGTTTTTAATAAACTTAAGCGTAAGTTTAATCTCAAGTGGTATTTTATTATATACGTCAACACGCATTTTTAAATAACTTTTACTGTATTTAGCAGTCATAAGAATAGTGTCAAGTACAAGTCTATTCGGGTTTCTGCAGAGTCCAGTCTTCGCATCACATGAATACACTTGCAATAAGCTTACATTGAAACAAGATTGTTTTTTGAAAGGTTATGGTAGGCCCCCTGGTCTTCAACGAGCTAGAGACGATTGTCAATATAGTTCTTGAGCAAGTGCTTGATGGAGTGATGGAAGCAACATAACAAATGTGCATGGAACGGGTTTGTACTCTTTAGTATCGGTCGACTGGAAAAAGAACATGTAAGTCTCAAATTGTGTACGCTTCCTTAATTGGCAATCATCATCATCATGTAGTGCCTCTCTATTACTGGAGGCTGGCCGTCAGCTTGGAGAACTCTTCCCTGTCCTGAGCTAAGAGAAACAGATGTTCTACGCTGGCAATATTGTCCATTTCCGGATGTTGCACAACCACGACTTCTTTCTTCTTCCAGTACGTCGTTTACCCTCGATCTTGCTCATCATTATCAGTTGGAGAAGTCGGTACTTTCATGCCGTAGAACATGTCCAAGATACGCAACTTTCCTTGTCTTGACGGTCTGCAAGAGTTCTCGGTCCCACCCAACGCGCTGAAGAACTGTCACATTGGGAACTTTCGGGGTCCAGCTAATGCGTAGCATTCTACGGTAGCATAACATCTCGAACGTCTCAAGACGCCTCTGGGTGTCGGCTTTTAGAATCCAAGCCTCGATACCGTAAAACACTACAGGCCAGACGTAGCAGTGGAGCAACCGTACTCGGAGCTTTATTGATAGTTTGCGGCTACACAAAACCTTCTCCATCCTCTTCAATATAGCTCGAGCAATTTCTATTCGGGTTCGAATCTCCTGTTCGCATTACCATTCACCCAACTTTCACAACAACATTCACTTCATTCACCCAAGCTCCAAGGTATTTGTACATCCGCACTCGCTCAAGATCTAAGCCTGCAACATGCAATCCGGGATTCAGGTCTCTGTCGTTAGTTACGACTAAGAATTATGTTTTGGCAATAAAAAAAATAATTAAGTCTATTGTATCCATCTTTACGCGAAGATTCAAATGGGTGGCATTATAATTTGGGGTATGAAAGTAGGTATGGTATCAAAAAAAAAACTTTATACAGTAAAAGTTATAAAATATGTACAACTTTGAATACAAATCTGTTGTCGTTAAAATTCATATCTCGAAGCATTATTGGACTCATTTGTTACGCTTTTATGTAGGTCGACGCCAAAACTCGAGAAGCTTATTCTGATGTACTTCAAAACAACTTTGTTTTAAGGCTTTCGAAAATTCAGGATAAAGAACATTACCCCACATCTCGGGTTCCCTAGGGTTCTGTCGACATTAAAATGTATGAAACAAAAACATCAATGCGTCCTTATAAAAGTCAGAAATGAAAGTTTTAAGTTTATACTCTATCCAATCATTTATTTAATCATTGACATATTTATGCCTCCGAAGTTCCGTAATTATGACATACAACCATAGATAGAAAATGCAATACTTCCTGGACCTTTTATTTTTTAATTTTAGTGAAGCGACGTTCTCTTTAGCTCCGACATTTATCGAGCAAATAGATTATGTAACGAAGGTTATTCAAATTGATAAATTTTGGTACTTAATTAATTATAATGAAGTAAAATAAATTATAAATAATATAATAAATTCTTATTGTTTTTTATAATGAATCGTGGGACCATATGAACGGGAATCATCACTTGAGTCCTCATTAACATTAATTATTAATTCTTAAGTACATAAATTGTGAAACGCAACATCACAATCCCAATCACACAATATCTTCTTTTTTGAACCCGCTCACATTCACGATTAAATTTTCTTCATAAATAAAATCAATTGTTATAAAAAAAATCGAATCGGAAACGCATTAGGACATCACTAATTGATTAGAATTCGAGCTGTCAAAAGTGAAATAAATGGTTGGACGGATAGGTATTCACAATCATTGCACCATTAATACTTTTTATGATAGTAAATGACAGGTAGAGCAAATGGTGCCAATGGTGGTAAGCGACTCGCGTATCCATAACAGTTGCAGTGTCACTCAAAGCTTTGAATCGCAAGACCTAAGGAGTACTACCACTGCATCTGTTACCTCGAGACATACATTAGTTGATAAGTCCCGTGTACCTGTAATTTCTCCAGTGACCTTATGCTTCAAAATCGAAACGCAGTAATATTCACATTATAGCTTGGCCGATAGATAGGAAGAAATAGGTAAGGTGGTAGTATTTCCCAGGACGAACTCCTTCACAAGGAGCTCTACTGCTGCTCAAAAAACATATGCCGTTAATAGTTTTATCGACCATAGTTGCGCTAATTTGGTGATCTAAGTAGTCTTGAAGCCCAGACCCAGGGTTCATTTCCCGATAGCAGATACAAAAGCATGGACATAGATTTACTTTACACTCCCAGGATTAGATCTGTAGTTTCCGTCATAATACAAGTGGGACAAACCGGTTCCACGTACCATTGGTAGTACACCAATGGTACGTGGTACGTGGTGCTGCCTGTGAACTTTTTCACTAAGAGCTCTACTACTTCTGTACAACCTGTGTAGAAAATACCTGATTAGGTTTTGTAACTGTGAATAAAATAATAGGAGAAATATTGTTACAATTTTGGTTGTTATTATTTCTAGTGATTGATAACTTGGAGCACGTTCGATTGGAAGACAAAAAGAAAATGTAAAAGTAAATGTACATTGTCTGCTCACATTTCTCTTAATATTATTGAACATGGCAGGTTTCATTATGTCAATGGATATCTATAAAAACGAAGGCAAAAGGAATGGGTATTTGTAATTTTGCATTTATTGTATACGTATAACTTACATAGGAAACGATAATTCATGTCCAATAAAAAAAAATATGAAATACTCCGACAAAAATGTTGTATAAAAATATTTTTTCTCGATAACCATTAATATTGACATAAAACTCCAAGTTCGTCCCAAAGGCTCGGAAAGAAATCAATTGGCCAAGTTTAAGTCCGAAGTATTCCCCGGTAGTACGATACCTTCTCATTTGTTTGTCACTTTTCGATTTGCGATCGCGAAACACAGGTGTATAACGAGGAAATATTCAAATTTTCAAAACAAATCCTACTTCACTTTTATGTCTATTTTTGCACAATTTTTATTGACGTTATAATAATGTGATGATTTTGGAGTCTTGATTCTTAAGCCATACAAATTTTGGCAGTAGGTGCTCAATACACCAAGACCCGAAATAAGTTTCGTGAAAATACTTTCCTTAATAGATTGAATAGAGAATAAAAGTAAAGAATCTATTAACAACATTTCCTAGTGCCCAACTATTACGTTCTATTCGTGTTGGTAATTTATGTATAATACAAATTTGAATAAAAGAGCTAATCACGTTTAAAACGACGAAAAGAAAGTATGGAAAACAGAAAGGACGTCAATCACTTTGTCCATAAATTGCTAAATGTAGAAATTCGTTAATGGAATTTCATTACTCCGTTTGATTTGATTGTTAGTGAATTTTCCAAAAATGTTTAAAAATAAATAAAATATTTGAAGAATTACAAACGTACAAAAAAAAAACTACGCCACTAGAAGTCCAATACTTTTCCTTAAATTCCAATGGATTCCCAAGCGTGTAACTGAGTCGACTCGGTAGTTTTCAGTACATCGCGCGACGTTTCGTGAGACGGACGTCTACGCCGCGTAGCACCGCGAGGTTAACAGCTACGTGCTACTCGCTACGACGTGCTCATAAATTCACTTGAACGCTAGAAAATTGAATTTCAAAAACTCATCTGTTATCTCTACTGATTCAAGCCACGAATTATTCGCAAGTGTTGTGAACGTGTTAGTTTTTTCTGATTTACTTTATGAACGTAAGTAGTATAGTTTAAGTTTGATTAAGGAGCTGTTTAAGAGAAGTAAAATTAGGTTTTCTTTTATTAACTATGCGAGTAAGTACATAATAAAATAATTAATAATATATGTGGGTTTACGAAGTTATAAATTTATGTCTATGTTTGTTAATTAATATAGAAGTCGCGATTTCTCGAAGCGATGTCGTATAAAATGTTCCAAACACTGAATATTATACCACAGGCAGTACCATTGGTAGTACAAGTGGAACCGGTTTGTACCACTTGTATTATGACGGAAACTAAAGATTTAATCCTGGATTCGCACGAAACAAACACGAAATGATAGAGTTTTAATAAAAAATAAGTACAATAAAAAAAAAGCAGTAAATACTTATGAATTATACCTTTAATAAAAGTTTATTGTACATTAAATAACATGTTGCCGCAATAACTCGACATATGACACGATTTAAAGTCATCATGTCGGCAGCTTTTTCGGTCAAATACGTTAGTTTTTAAAAAAGCTGCTTTGGGTAAAGATTTAAAATTTTTTTGATAGTTACTTTTGACATTAATGATCAGTATAGCAAAGGGATTTTTTTAATATACAAAAATATCGAATTGTTTTATCAATTTTAACCTTTGCTGCTCGTTGTGCCATTTAACGGGTACATAAAAATATACAGTTATAAAAAAAAATTATGTACGGTTATAAAATAGGTCGAAAGACAATTTGTTTAGAAAGCAAAACCAAAATGTTTAGAAATTTTGTTTTTGCTTCAATTCAAGAGAGCAACATTGGTTCACAAAAATCTTGGTTCCTAGATTTCTTAATACGCTACCACTGTGTCTGAAATTGAAAATTAATACAAAAAATCTTATATACTATTAAAAAAATATCTCTTCCATTGGTTACATACTTATGTAAAATTGTATAAAATACATATATAATGTATAATAATTACATTTATAGTGGATATGTACATATTTATTATTTTCGTTTTTTTGCCTTGAAAGTAACACATGCATAGTAGTGGCATATTGTATGTTGATCCTAAACAGCCTGTATGCGACATGTAGCGCTGAGAGTAGAACCGGTTTCCTTGCAAGACGCGCACTCTGATGGCGGTGAGCAAAAATTTATACAAATCACCGATTTGTATAAATTTTTGTTATTATAAATTGTGTTATACCTTCATATATTTTTTTCATATTATGATAATGTTTACGTTTAAAAGATAAAAATATTTTTTTATTATTGTTAGAGTAAGCAATACTAATAGAAATCTGTTTTTGATTAAGAAAGTAAAGTAAAACTATGTTAATGCTTTTGTAACCATTAAATAAATTAAAAACAAAATTAAAAAAAAAATCAAAAAGTATTATTAGTCCCATTTACTAAAATACTCATAATATAATAAGTATTACAAAATACAATGGAGAAATAAAAACATTAGGTGAAATATAAAGATACACCACGACACGCACGACTTGTTTGTCCTGTCAGTAGTTATTCTAAAACAGTAATGTCGTTTTTAGTCAAATCATGATCGGAAATAAAGTAATTCCTTGACCTAAGGCACTAGAAAAACGAATAATCGTAATCGTGTCCTAAAATGGTGTTACCGGAAAATAACCCTGAGTCTCTGTATCAAGACTAATTAGATCACCAAACTCACGCAACTGTGGTCGATAAAACTATTAACAGTATATGTTTTTTTACAGTAACAGGTCCTTGTGAAAGCGTTCGTCCAGGGAAGAGCTGCCACATTACCTATTTCTGCCACCGAGCAGTAATGTGAGCATTACTGCGTTCTGGTTTAGAAGGGTAACGGTGCTGGAGAAATTACAGGCACATGGGATTTGTTATTTCTCAGGGTGACGGGCGCAGTGGCAATGCCCATAAAATCTTTGCGATTTAAAGCTCTGAATGGCATTGCAACTGTTATCGATAGGCATGTCGTTTACCACCAGGCGCAGGACTTGTTTGTCCCGTCACTTAGTATTATAAAAGAAAAATGTAATTTTAAAGTCCAGTTGTAACAGAATCTTAAGTCCCGATGAAGTAGTTCGGCCTGTTATGCTTACAAAACTTCCCATTTAAACAAGCAAAAACACTTTAAAAAGCCTTTATTGAACTCTTAAATGCTTTTATTCGGTAGATAAAAATGTACAGAATCTTGCTTCATCATTTTGAAGCAAAATATTCAAATGTCGCATCGAAGGAATCAGTTTGAAAGGGATATAAAAAGTTTGATGGAACTTGTACAACACGGGAATTCGAATATGTTTGAGGAAAATCGAGATATATATTCTTTGCGACTTTCACTTTGCATTATGAGGATGCATAAATAAATTATTGAAAAGGTGTGGAGAAGGCGTTGTAAATAAATATTATTTGTAGATAATATCTCCAAGAAAGTGATATCTGATATTCTTGTCACATATCTGGAATTCCACCAGCACCCTTACCTTTCAAAATCGGAACGTAGCTATGTGAGTATTATTTCTGCTTGGCGGCAGAAATACGAACTCCTTAAAAAGGAGCTCTACTACTACTAAAAATGCAATATAGCGTAAATTCACAGACATTTATCTCATTTTATAGAATAATTGAAGACTCTATTGACACATGTACTTGGTTGTGTTTTTTATGTAAGTGCTAGCTGGTTGTTTAATGTTTGTTTATATTTAGTTTTTTTATAACTACAAGTGACGGGACGAACAAGTCGTGCGCCTGATGGTAAGCTACACGCATGTCCATAACATTTGCAGTGCCACTCAAAGCTTCAAATCGCAAAGATCTGAAGGGCATTGCCACTGCGTCCGTCACTATGAGGCATACGTTGATAAGTCCCATGTGACTGTAATTTCACCAGCACGCTTACGCTTCAAAACCAGAACGCAGTAACGCTGACGTTACTCCTTGGCGGAAGAAATAGGCAAGGTGGCAGTACTTCCCTGAACGAACTCTTTCACAAGGAGCTCTAACTGCTTCTAGAAAGTTCAATGTTCGTGTTTTGTTTGTTTTTGGAACAGTAATATTTTTATTAATTATTTTGGTTTTCCATGAAGGAATAAATAAATTGTTACGTAATTCTCACCTAATGGTGCTGGTTCATCTGCAGCACCACAACCAAATCCAAGCTCCACGAATAAAATAAGTAGTACGCAAGGTTTGTTCGACGCTGTATTTCAACCACAATGTTTCTATTCTGTCGTATATATATTCTAATGACACCAAAGATGAACTGTGTTTTTTTAACTGATTTCGATTTTGTTTTTGTTGAAAAGGGGGTATTACAATAATGGTTCAATTAAAATTAAATGAAGATATTCTCTCTTTAAGGGTAGCAATATAGGGGATGAATCCAGTTTATTGAATTTCTCGCACTTACCGTTAATAGATTTCAATAAAATTTGGCCACATGGATGTAATTCTAATGAAAGTAAAATATTGTGGTGCCCTGAGCTGGTCTGATGATGGATTTGGCTGACAGATGAGAGGAATTCCTCAATAGTGTACAATAGCCACTTTATGTTTTGTGTCATATTATTAATTTTGACGAGAACTGTCCATATTATGCCTTTCGGTTATCGTTGAAGAGAGTGTTAACTTTTGAGGTCAATTTTTTTTATTAATGTAAAAAAAGAATGATTTTCCGTGCGGTCGATTTACGGGTTAATATTTTGTGTCTAACTTTACATTTAGTAATAATTGTTTATTGCATAAAGAGAAGACATTACAAATTACATGTTACAAAGGACATATACAAAGGTGGTTTATCTCTGGTAGATATCTCTTCCAGCCAACCCTAGCCATGGTGAATAGAGAATTATTGTACAACAAATTTATTAAAATTTATATATCAATGATGACAATATAAGTATGACTGAAATATACACCTACATAAATACATACATACACAAATATATTATAATCTTTAACCCTCTTCTTAGATGAAACCCATGTCCAGCAGTGGAATTTAAATAAGTTGATACTTATACAACAATTGGTTTTATTCCATACCGCTATTCTCAGAACGACAATAACGTATCCGTTTTGTACTGAAACCCGACAAGTGTCGTATTTAGCACACTTAGGTGAGTTTAGTCATACGTTGATACTGATATTTATAGCCAAGAATACAGTATACAGGTTTATTTGTAAAATAACGGGATCATTTGTAAAATGATTGTTAGAACGTCACAGGACCATATTAGTACTAACATCATACACGACAGCCTTTGTTCCATGACATTTTATAATTCATCAGAATTTATTTACGTACAAAAATAATTTTTAGTAGCAGTAGAGCTTCTTATGAAATTGTTCGTCCAGGGAACTATGCCACCTTACCTATTTCTGCCGCCAGGCGGTAATGTTCGGTTTGGAAAGGTAAGCGTCCAGTTACACGAAGAGAAAGTTTACGCGCGGCCGTCGCGCGTGTACATTAATGGCGAATCTGAATTCTATTTACTAGGTAACGACATTTAAATTCGTCTAAATAATACAGCCGCGCGGCTGTCGTCCGGCCGCCGGGAGGGTCGCCGCGTAAACCGAATTCAAGCCAGACTCGCCCGCGTGTCCGGGACGTTCATTTAAGTTAAAACGTAAAGGCTAAATAAATAGAGAGTATTTTGCCATGATAGTTAGACACACGCGGTCGGCAGCGCGGACTCCGCTCGGCGACCGCGCGGGGTGAGAGCGATGAAATTCGTGTCGAATATATGCGCCCTAAGGGTGCTGATGAAATTACAGGCACATGGGACTTGTCAACTAATGTCTCAGGGTGATGATGGGCGCAGTGGCAGTGCCCTTAAGATCTTTGCGAATTAAAGCCCTAAGTGGCACTGCAACTGGTTATGGATAGGCATATCGCTTACCATCGGCCGCACGACTTGTTTGTCCCGTCACCTGGTATTATAAAATAAACAAACAACAGTACTATATTACTAATATCATGAACAACAGCTTTTGTTTTATGACGTTTATTAATGCATCAGAATTTACTTTC